ATATAGATTCATGATGACATTCTTGACGCATGTGTGAAAATGGAGCTATGGTACTAAGGCGCGCTGTTGGACTTCGCTGGTAGCTGTAAAGTTGCCTTCGCATGTCTCCTACTTCAAGTCCAAACAACAAGGTCATCTGACATGGGAGGTCCAACTCGCAATTCTCTCGCAGAACTGGTGGCTCAACAACTCTGTGTCGAGCAGGCAAAAAAAAAAGACGCCCGCCGCGCCTTTAGAATCATGTGAATCAATTTCGGGACACTTAACGCCTTCCATAAACATGTACACTATGTCGGAGCTGTCTTATCACCATTAGCTCCGTATGGCATATGAGCATGAATATCAGTTCGATCAGTTCAGTTGTTGTTGTGTGACGCGGTTTTGGCATTGGCCTGCCCTTCTCTCTCTGCCATCCATTTTGGCGGCTGAGACAGCTGGCAGAAAAAGGTGAAAACTCAACTACAAGAGCTGAACCATGCTGAACCACCCCAAAAAAATTACAACTTGAGAATCGTTCTTTGGCTGTGGCCAATAAGCAAATAATGACTATATATAATTAACATCAACGTTCCCCAACACTGAATGGCAAGAAGCATGGACATGACAAAAGGTTTCTGTGTTGCAACCACAAAGGCATTGCGCCCATTGGCTCTCTCTTGCCTTGGGCAAGCTGGCAAGTTCCCTATCTGCGCTGCTCTGTCAACAGCATCCTGCTCTTGCTGTGGGCCCTGCACATGCCCCAGAAGCAAATGCTGAAGTGTTAAGTCTTGTTCCTCGTCTGACCCTCACAGCAAATCACTGGGCTGGCGCAACGGACCCCGAGCTGCCGTTGCCTGCTGGTGTGGATTTATGCCTCAGGCATCCCACCAAATCACCCTCTTAAAAACCCCGTCTTGCGACCGCGTCCCTCAGGGAAGCCGTTCCCCTCAACGTGGGGTGCCGAAGATGTACTGCCTCAAGGCACCGCGAAAAACCACGTGGGCAACAGCGGACGAATGCAGCACCACGACCACGAATCCGTGATGTTCTTGTGGCCACTGTGTCAAGAAACAAGGTGCGCAAGGTCAACGGTTCAAAAGTTCCATATACCCCAAAAACCCAAAAAATAGTGGCTATGATGATCTACATATATTATATATATTATATATACTTATCATATTTTATCATTTCATTTAACTTGGCTTCCTGGAGGGACCAAACGGTGGAAGTCGCAGCTGAACCCTTGTCTGCGATGATGAAGTTGCCCTGAAGTCATCACCCAGAAAGAAAGGACTGGCCCCCTCAAAGGGTCAATCATTGTCCTCACCGACAAACACAAATCGTGAACACCTTGCTCACCATGCAGTGTGCTTAAACAAATCCGTACCCCAACCCGGTCTACACGACAACACTGACTGACGTGACACTGATTCAAGGCAACCTCACGAAAGACCCTAGCAGCCCTGCGCGACGGCATCAGGCATGGAAACACTTCGCCCTTAGCCCTTCGATAGCATCAACTTCAGCCTTCCAAGTTAAGGCGAGCACTGGGAATCATGGTGTCTCTCCCAGCGTTGCACCTGCGGGGCGTGTTGCAGGCCCAAAAAATGCTGCAAAGTCGTGCATGTGTAGCTGGATGTCACCAAAAAAAAACACCGAAACACAAAAAACATTGCCAAATTCATCCGAAATCAACCACTCCCTGTGGGGCAACATACGCTGGCTGGAACCATCTTTCAAAGGGAATCACAGGATTGTGGGCGCCACAGCGCCAGAACTACAAAGGAATAAGCAACAACGACAAAATTGCACCACATACAACCGGAATCATCCAGAATGAGGCCCTTAGGATCCGGCAAGAATGCTGTGAGTTTGATGTTGTCTTTCCCCAGCGCCATGATTTTGCCCTCAAATTAGCCCATTTTTGAACTTGGCCCTCCCCTGCCCTCTATCTTCTCTCATCCCACAAGCCTCCTCAGCACGTTCGCGAGCACGAGAAGCTACTTCTGAACCCCGAGCACGAGGCCTCAGTCCCCAAACACCCGGGTCTTCCGCATGGCTCACACGTTCCCGGGGCCGGCACTGCTCCCAGGCAGCGAGCTGTCCCACCTTGGCACACGGAAGGAGGTCCCACCGATTCGAGACACCCCAGAAGCTTCTCCAGCGGGGTTTGCGGGTTTCGCACGGGGTTGCAAGTGTTTTTTCTATAGTAAGGCCGTCTGCTCAATGTGAAGCCTGCATGAGGACGGGGTCAGTGGCGATTCCGCAGAAAATCACGTGAGCGTGTGGCAAGGGTTCACAGAAACACTGAGGCACCCAACATATCCGGCTTTTCCGGACGGGCCCGGGAACTCCCACTGGTTCTGCGGATCCAGGGATGCTTTCACCACCTCCAATGAAGTGCGCGGCAGTCACTGGCACAAGCTGGTTCGGACACGAGCAGTTCCTGTGTCCGGTCTTTCCCAACTTGCCAACTGGTGTCTCCCTGGTGGTTCAACATGCTCAAAATGTGCAAAGTCTTGGCCTCCTCAGCCCAATTGTGGGGTTTTGGCAAGGCGCCATCCTGGATGCTAAAGCTTTCCGAACAGACTGACCAGGCGGGGTGTCGGGACAAGCATCATCCAAACGATCAAAACGACAATGCCGTTTCCTGGTTCGCAAGGCACCTGCAATTCTTGAGGACCTGAAATCCCTCCGGTAAGCTTCCGCTGGTGAACGGCATTTCTGAGAGATTCTGAGATCCCAGGCGTCTTTCTTAGCTGGACGATCAGCGTGCGCCTGAGTAGGTGTGACAATTCTTCGGATGACCTCCAAATTCTCTTCGACACCAGCCTCTGCAGTTAAGGTCTGGTCGTCATGCATGGAAGGTTGCAAAACATTTGCTCAAGAACACCTTCTGTTCCCTAAAAGATTTCAAGGTGACGACTCGATGACCATAAACTCTTGAGAGAAGCCTGCGATGCCATAAGCATCAAACACAAACTCACCAGGAGCTGACCCTTCTAAAAGGGAGCCAACAATCTCTCGTGGCTGTACCTCTGGTGCTTCGATCCTTATATAAATTCGACACTCCTACTTGGCACCTGTAGGAAGAAAGTGCTCTTGTAAGAAGTGGTGGCCCGTGAAGGGGGTCAGAGTGTATGCGGTCAGCTAGAAAGAAGAGGCTAAGAAACAGAGAAGGATATTTTGATTTAATTCTAATAGCTTCTTGTTACTACTAGTAAGGCACCTGTTACTACTAGCGATGCACTTGTTACTAGTAGGAACGACAACTGCTGGGCCCAAAACATCGGCGGAATGATGCCGTTGCTTTCGACTCTTGCCTGACGTTGCAGGTGGTCAGGTCTTCCTATCCAGAACTGGATCCAGCTAAGCTGATGGAGGACCTCCAAAAAACACTGAAACACCGGGATCCTTCTGACCGTTCGGAGGGGAGTAGACCGGGATCTGTGATCTTCATCGGACAAAAAGAACCTCTCCACAGCCTAACGACTCAGCTGTGATGGTCGTTAAGGGATATCATTTGGTGAGCTCCGACCGTGAGATCCTCGTGTGAAACTGCTTGGAGTGGGTCTTGGTGGAAAGGCTTGAGGGATGAAAAGCTTGCACCACCGGTGCGTAAAAGAAAGTCATCTGAAACCTGCCCACACGAACCCATATTCCTTTACTAGTACTACTGATTTATGTATAATCTCAACTGAAGGACGCCCAGTCAAATCTGACTGCATCAAATGTGGTATTGACATATATTGACCACCTTCATCCTCCAAATCTCGTTGTTCCGGCACCACTGGGAGCTTCGCAACGTCCCCACCTCCCCGAACTGCCGGGGATCCAAACGTTCCTTTTTCTCTTTACGCCGGGCTTCCTCTTCGGTGACCTGGTGCGTTGAGACCAAGGAATCAATCATCCAAGGATAGAAGGTGGGTGTGACCAGAGTGACTGGCACGATGATTGGAGACAATTGTGGGAGTTCACCAACGATCTTTGAAAGCTGATGGATGATGGATAGATGATGGGTGCCAGCCACATCAATTGACTCTTTGGAGGCCACATGCAGGTGGCCAGCTTCAACGGCTCAAATCGCACCTGGGAGTTCCAGGAGACTGCGGAGGAGTCGGTCACGGATGACCTCGGAGTCGAACAGAGCCATTCAACCCACAGAGCTGCGGCCCTTTGTCCATCTGCCCAATTTGATCATCTGCCCTTTGTACATTTGAGTGATGATCCCACCAGCAGCACGTGGTTTTTCAATACTCTAGTCCAGCGGTTCTCGCTCTCCTACCACCAGACACTGTCAAGTATGACCCACGTCCAAACTCTTGCCAAATGGACGAGCCCACCGGTGTTTCAAGAATCACCCGCGCCATGTCCCAAACTTGTGTTGCAAACGAACAGGAGAAAACGCACACAATGACAAACAAATACCATGTTACCGTGTTTGGTTCGAGCGGGGGCGGGCAGCTGTAAAACTATACCAATCAATGCTGTCAACCAAACAATGCCCTGATGGGAAATAACGATAACATAAATGCACCAGTTCCAAAGGGATGCTGAATGGATGTTAGGGGTGCCCGCTCACTTAATTAGGGACTAAACGCCACCTTTGTGACTCCCTGGTGTCTAAATCATCTCGTTGGTTCATGCGGATTGCGAGTCCTTCCACCTTCTCACACCTCCCCCGAAACACCCATGCTTCCGGTGGAAACATTCTGCCAGGCCAGACCTTGCATACCTTGCGGATGTCGAGCTTCGATGATGGGAGGCACTTCTTTTCGGCAATGAATTCCACCAGGGACGGATGGCCCAAAGCCATCTCCGCTCTGGGGAGCGAAGGACCAGGGCCCCAAGCCTGTTCTACTTCAACTGATCGCACAAAATGAGAAACCTTGTGAGAGGTGAGAACTACAGCTCCCAAGCAAAGGGGCCCGAAAAGAAGCTGAGATGAGCATCCGGACGGATTCGGCATCCGGTGCCGTGCACCCTAAAGCGATCTTTGATCTCTAAAAGGGTCTCATCCCTCAATAGTGTAGCACTGATAAAATCAGCTCGGGGTCGTTCCTCAGCTCGCGGTCGGATGCTTTCCGAAAATGACCACTCTGGCTCAATCCCTAGAACAAAACAAGACCTGCTGCGTTAGAGGGAGGTCATCAACCCCCTAAGGCCGGATTAACTAAACGTTGGAATCCGCGGTACCTCGACTATTGATCCCTAACCTGCTCGAGGTCTGAGTTCAGAAATTCAAGCATAATGAATCAGAGGGTATTGAGTGCTAACAAAATCACAAGCAACAAGGTCACAAGCAGCATTCAATCAGCGCGAACACAAGAATAACACAATTAATCCACAGGTATTCTATCCTTTGAGTGGGTTTCTCCACATGCTGCTTCCCTCCCCCCTGGTGAGCCAATTAATCCTACAACTTTGCCCATTTGATTCTGCACAACTTCTTGCCAACCCCCTCAAGGTTTGGGCACAACGTTGGGACATTGATCCAAATAACTAATCTCAAAGCTCAAGGGGGCACTTGGTCTAATTTCCCAAGGATGCAGGTGTATAAAACATATCTCTAAACAATATATATATACGCATATTATATATATAACAATGAAACTAACTGCGGGAAAATACAAGGAATTGGGAATGGGCACATTGGCACATCCACTGGTGATGTCTCCAGTACATTCACTCCTCCATGATGATTGCAGTAGGACCTGTATTCCTTTATAGTATATTGAGTATATTGCTGGTGTCTTGCCCACCTTCATCGAACACACATCCCTCATTGCCGTTATTCGGCTACAGCTGTCTACTCATGGCTACCATGGCTACGGCACATCAACCTGCTGGACCGGTTTTGGTTCAACAAGTCTCGCTGCAACATGCTGGAGAAAAAAGAAAGAACCTTCGACACGGCCAGGCATCTTGAGACGCTCCAGGAGGTCATCACCTTTCAAGTCCTCCCCGTTCAGCGCGATGATGCGGTCCCCCACAGACACCAAGGGGTTCTTGGGATCGGCATTCCAGCGATCGACGAGGCCATCTGGGACGATCTTGCTGATGAGAACCCCACCCAGCCTGGGGAAGAACGTCAAGTCAAAATACGTCAAACACAAAGCGAGAGGACCACCATAGTAGGTGTACGTAGGTGTATCAACGGTTTGCCTAGGGGCCTAGCGCAGTGAGTAGGACCTCCGTCTAAATGTCAAGGTAGCTTTCAAAGCGTCTGCTCAGTCAATGGCAAATGATGCTGAGTCAATGCTGAGCGTTTCTCCCTACTACAGTATCCGAAAATCTTCACGGCCAGAAACCTGTGGAATCTTGCTACTGCTAGCTTTCCAACCTCTCCATCTTCGTCGAACCCAAAAAACATCGAATCGGAGCGCCAAAAAGGAGCCCTGCTTCTTCGGGGAAGCGAGCGACACCTCCACTTCCGAGCCGCAGGTCGGTGTAGTTCACCTGTAGGCCCAAAGTGCCCGGTCTCTCCAGCTGCACCCTGACAAAGACCGGCACGGACCCGTGTGGATCCAGCGTGTCCATCTCTTTCACTGGGGGGGGGGGGTAGGAGCAAGAAGCTACTAGGAGCAAAGGGCATCGCTACTAGGGGCTCCTGACCATACTACTAGGAACACGAAGCTATTAGAAACAAGAAATAAATAGAATTAAAGGTAACTATAATTACGGTAAGTTTAATTGGAATATATGGATGAAAATATCACATCGGCGCGGGGGGGGAGGTTCTGTGGCACAATGCCAGGCGCTTTGAGTTGTACAAGGGCTGGGGGTATCAGGAAAGGCGGTCGCAAAGATCAAAACCCTGTGAACCCAACTGTTCTTTCCAGTAGGTTGCCATTGCCAGTCATCAAGCTTCGCGTCTGTCCTTTTTTTCTTGGAAAAAAAAACTGCTGAATTGATAGAATGGGAAATATGATCAATGTGAGTGAGCAACTGAACATGATTCTCAAGAGGTCGTAATACTCAGGCCTTTACCACCCTTGTCCCCATATTATGCCTGGAAAAGCCACGACTCTGTGCAATGTATCTGGTCTGATGGCTCAGCCACAGTGCCTCACACAAGCCGGCCCAAATTAAGCACCAATTTACCCGCGCCCGGATCACATCGGCAGCCCGAGCGTCTGTATTTCAGTGGGGCGCCGGATGGTGAGCTGCAGCAAATCTAATGTTTCATCGGCAATGGCAGAGACCATCATCCTCACAGCGGTGAGGGTGATCGAAAATTCATTTGACTCACCCTGAGTCAACCACAACAGTCCTGCATCCCCCTGCTGCCCTCCACTTGATTTCCCTCCCCCCCCACTCACGAAAAGCGCGAATTCCTCTCTCTCTCCTCCGCATCTCATTGGCCGAACCCCGTTTGCCGTTCACAGCAGTGATCTTGTCAAACTGTTTCACACCCTGGCGAGGGAACTTCTCGTTAAACTTCTTGATGATTCCATCAAAGATACCCACGATCATGAGGTTTTTCCTTGGCAAAGCGGCCATGGCCAAAAAAACATTTACCAAATGCATGCCACCTCAAGCGTAGCAAGTAGCAATGGCAGGCTTTCAAAGGATGAGCCACGATCTCCACACGTCTGTGGGCACTACATGTTCTGTCTAGGTTCGCATGGCCTACAAACAGAACTTGCGCTCCTGCCAGCGCCACTTCATGTTTAAAAACATAATTTGCAAAACAATCAGTATCTGGCCATGTGACGAATGGCAAGGCTCTTTGGCCAAGCTCCAGGTTCAAGCATCTACACAGCTCAGTCTGTCCGAACCCTATCCTCCAGTGGCATTCGCACTTTGGGTAAGCCAAGGAAAATGGGGCAAGCGCCATTCATCGAGGGTCTGCCAGGTCCTTCAGTTTGACCGCGCGTCACTGTGCCGTAAATGGCAGCACCCACCCAAAATCCTACACATCACACTGCATGGGAAGCCGTGCCAAAAAAGGCTCAGAAACCTTACCAGTCAGGCAATGTCCATTCTTGAGCCCAAACCATCCCAAACCTAACACACAACACCCACCTCCAAAAAGGGCACTCTCAAGAAGGTGGGTGAGTAGGTGTTCTTCTTTTCTCCCAGCCTAGCCCCATCACTGTCGCCTAGAATCTCCTCGGTGCTATCGAGGGCAACGCCTAACAAGCGAGGCTTTAAATCTTCCAGCTCCAAACTCACCTGAAGCGACGCCCGAGCCCTCTGGCGGCTGTGGGGGGGGTGATGGGGCTGTATCAGTGGGCCTAGACAGCTGACCAAAGCCTGGCACGTTTAAGGAAAATCCACAGGAACCTGATGGGCACTTCCCACCAAACGGATCTAACGAGCAGATTCCCACACCAAATCCTTTCAACACTGCTGTGTTCACAGCCATCATCATTACCATCACTTTTCATATTCAACTGCTCTCCCCACTTGAAGTGGCTTTGGAAAATGAGGGGAATGTGGTAGCATGTAGCAGTCTGCTGTCTGCATTGGTCGTATCCCACAGAAGCACACCCGCGTAACAACTATGTGCGCCGAGCTGCAGTGAAAGCTCCCTGTGATGGTGGTTCTGAAACGGCGAGGCCGTCCTGAGAGTGGTGACACTCGTTTTTGTTTGAGGAGAATGGTGGTGGGCATGTTGAAAAAGAACTTCCAACCAAAATGCCCAGTGGCCTCATTCAGGACGGGAGAGGAGTGCACCTCCACTGTCACCTCTGGAATGCTTTCGCAGCAGTAGCAAAACATGTGTGTGGCACAGGCCCAACGCCGCACACTCAGGTGCGCGTATGGTGCGCAGGTGCCCCTTCGCGGGTGTCATTGTCTGAGCTGAAAAGTAGCAGATATACATGTTGCTGTGCGAATACGTTGCATTCATTGGTAGACGCAAGGCTGCAAGGCTTATACTTAGGCCAAGGACAAACAAGACCCTGGGAAAGAAACCACGAGCTGTTTCTAGCCTTGGCTGCTTCTTTGGTCGCCGAGTGCAACACCACACACACACACACAAAGAGAGAGAGAGAGGTAGAGAGAGAGTCAGAGAGAGAGAGAGGCATAAAACTAATATTCATTTTAGATTGGATGTGGAGGTTTATGGAGATGTGCAGGAAATTGGCGAGGTCTTGAATATATTAGACAACGTTCTGGGTGTTTAAACATTCCCACCCTCCCTCCTAGGTGC